TGTAGCTTTGTGCCTTTCCTGGAACTCACTCTGTAGATCAGGCTGGCCTTGAACTCACAGAGATCTGCCTGCCTCTGCCTCCCAAGTGCTGGGATTAAAGTCTTGCACCAACACTACCCCCGGCCCCTTTTGATTTCTAATCAGAATCTTAAAATTAGACAACTTAATAAAACTCCTGAGGCTGGAGAGATGGGTTAAGAGTACTTGTACACAGCCCTATAAAGGGAAGTCCCTCCCCTCAGGGAATAGGGAAGCCCCTGAGAAAGGAGACAGAGGGAATGGATAACAAGGCCCTCTAATCAACATAATCCAAACTCATATGAACTCAGAGAATGGGGCAGCATGTACAGGGTCTATAAAGGTCTGCACCAGGTCTTCTGCATGCATATTACGGCTGCTAGTTTAGTATTTTTATGGGATTCCTGAGTGTAAGAACAAGTGGGTTTCTGTTTCTTGTGCCTTCTCTTGGGCTCTTTTCCTTCTGTTCGTTTGTCCAATTCTGATATGTTAGTTTTGTTTTATCATATCACAATCCCTTAGAAGCCTGTTTGTTTTCTAATGAGACAGAAAGGTGAATCTGGATGGGAGGGGAGGCAGGGAGGAACTGAGAGTAGAGGGAGGGGAAACCACAACCAGGATTTATTGTGACCAAAAATCTATTTTCAGCAAAAGGAACAAGAGCACTTGTTCTTGCAGAAGACCTACTCCCAGCACCACATGGTGGCTTATAACCATCAGAACCTTAGTTCCAGAGGATCCAATGCTTTCTTCTTACCTTAAAGTGCATCAGGCGCACATGTGGTACATACATGTGAATAAAACACAAAGTCTAAAAAATGTTAAGGTTAAAAAAATAAATAAATAGGGCTGGAGAGATGGCTCAGAGGTTAAGAGCACTGACTGCTCTTCCAGAGGTCCTGAGTTCAATTCCCAGCAACCACATGGTGGCTCACAACCATCCGTAATCAGATCTGGTGCCCTCTTCTGGCCTGCAGTCATATATGCTGTATACATGATAAATAAATAAATCTTTAATAAATAAATAAATAAATAAATAAACAAACAAACAAACAAACAAGACTGCTAATTATAATGTCAAAAGAGACAAGATTTAACTTATCCCTAGAGGCTTTACAAGGAGAGATCTGTGCTGTTGTTTTGAGACAGGGTCTCACAGGTGCCCGCCAGGCCACCTCTCTGTTCTAGGTGCTAGGATCTAAGGGTTAGGATTAAAGGTGTGCACCACCACACTCAACTGACAGACTGCATTTGTAATGACAGTCATTTCAACTCTGTCCAACAATATCTACCAAGGACACTTCCATGTTTGAAAAACCATGTTTCTTTCTTGGTTTGTCAATATATGCAACTAGCAGAACTGATGTGAATACTAGAGACCCAGAGCAAAAGCAGAGGGTGGAGGCATGATGGTACATGCCTATAATCCCAGGAGCAAGAGGCAAGAGTATGTGAGTTCAAGGCACCCTACCTTACACAGTGGGCTCCATCCAGGCCGATCAGGGCTACATAATAAAGCCATGTAAAAAGCCTGATGCCAACAGGACACACCTAGAACCTCAGCACTGGGGGAGTGGACACACAAGGATCCCTGGAGTTGCTGCCCTACCTGTCTAGTCAATCCGTGAGCTCCGGGTTCAGTGAAAGACACTATCTAAAACAAGGTAAGACAGACCAAGGAAGACACCTGTTGTCAACCTCTAGCCTCCATGCACTGATGTGTGTCCATGTATCAAAAGCTCTAATTACCTGATGCCGTTTAAGCATGTCCAATCCCAGAAGCATGTCCATAGGCTGTTCTTCGAGTATGGAGAAGGAACATGCCAGGAAATCACCTTCAATTTGAACCTGAGCTAAAGCACAGAAGAGAAGAAGAAATTACTGATGTTGCTTCCCAAGCCCAGGGTGAGCTGTGAGGAACCCATCACTCTGTGCCTGGGCTTCCTGGACGCAGGCAAGGCAAGGAGGGGCAACAGTGAAACAAGATGAAAGCAATGAAGTAGACGGGCAGAGCTACTGTTCTGAGAACCGGGCTTGTCGTGGGCCGCCATCAGGACCATGCTCAGCAGGTGACAAAAAGAAGCCTGAAGAGGATTGAAAAACAACACATACACAGAGACAGTAACAGTGAAGGCAGTTCTCTGGCATTAACCAATGGCTTCCTATACACTTATAAAAATGTCTACTAGGTATTTGTGAGTATACGTGTATACACGGGTTGCTGAGGATGGAACGCAAGCTGTACCACCATGGCACAAATGTTTCCAAAAAGCAGTAAAACCAGCATACTTTAAACCTTTAAAACCTTTAAAGTATGAACTATTTAAAAAAAATTTACTAAAGTAAAAAAAGGGGGAACTAGGGACTCATCTTTCCTCTCTACATTCTATTCTTTCCCTTGTTTTATATATTTTAAATTTTTTATCAGTGGATTCTGCTGGAGTATCCGCTGCAGATAAGCACTGGAGGGCTCGTGTTGCAAATCACCCTCTAGAATGATGGAAGGATCTTTCTACTGGCACTTGGAGGAGACCCGATCTGGTGTTGGTGTAGGCTCAGGGTTCTGTTTGTGTCTTTCTGCAGGACAATGAGGTTCCTCTTTGGATTCTTGAGCGCTGTGTGAGCCCTGTGGCTGCTGCTGAAGGCCAATATGGCAGAGACCTAATGGGCCTTCATGAAAAACTCTCCCCTTCTGATGCCAATGGGGATTGAGAACCCAATATGGCCAGCCTTGGCAAGCATTAACATAAGCCTAGGAACTGTAGCCATGTGGTTGGATTATCCAGAAGGTAATGTATGGTAACTGCTTTTTCAAGTATGTTTGAACGTGTCACCGAGACACCTTGGAGATTAAGGATAACCCTGAAGGTCACTGACCTCCATTTGTTAACAGTAGCATGCCAGCTAAGCATTTTCATTTTCACAATCCTCTTCAAACTGGTGTACCTACTTTTGTACTATCTACTTTTCAGGAGTGGCTCTGTGCAACATTTATTGGCCTCCTGAAATTCATTTAAACCCCCTTTGAAGACACCTTAAAATTTATGAGCCTGAATGTAGACATTATAAGACCATTAGTTATACTCCTTGTTCTTTTGCAGAGCTGCCAGCTTAAGTTGTGCTGGGATCAAGAAAAATGGGCTTTGGCAGTTTGTGTTCCTGGAGTTGTATCCATGCCAGTAGAAGCCCACACGCTCCAGAAAAGAATTTGACATTGCTGCTGCCATTGTTGCTGTTATAGCAGTGGCGGCCACAGCTGCTACTGTTTCTGGGATTACCATTTCATAATTGGTTACTACAGCTAGCACAGTGGAGACCCTGGCAGCAAAAGTAGCTACCACAGTTAGTTAATCTTTCATTCTATTGGGCATGATAAATTTAATTCAATAGTTATATACATTTCGATTGGCTTTGAAAGTTATAAATTTATAAACTCAAGTTCCATTTGCTTTTGGGATACCACCTTACAAGGACTCCAATTTGCAGTAAGACTTGTTAAGGAAGGGAATGGCTCAGTTGCCTTTAGCCTACTGGCTATGGGTGGGTTGGGACTTCTGTTGGTCTTTTCTGTGTTGATAACACACAGACTGCAAGCCCAGCGCCACTTTGAGATCTTTGGCAGCAGTTAACTCTGCAGCTCACACAGGATTGAACCTGTATGATAATGAGTATTCAGAGACGGGTAATACCTGGGGGGAGGGGGGGGGCGCGCTCACCAATCTAAGACAGAGTGCCTGTGTGGCCTGGGCAAGTGTCTCCATGACGGGTAAGGTGACCTGCTGATGTCTGATGCAACCAAAGTCAGAAGCTCGTTTTTTAGTAAAAGGGGGACCTGTAGGGCTCTGGCCCCCGTTTTGGGTAGCTGTTGCCTTGCTTGCTGATCTTGTCCTCCCTATGCTAATTCCCTGCCGGGTTCCACCATCCTGAATGCTTAAGGAAAGATCCTTGTCTGTGTATCCTGCATAATGGGCATTAACAGCTTAGATGCAAGATTGAAGATTGTAAAACATTGGTAGAGAACTTCTGCCCTCTGGGGTTCGGTTCTCCCATTGTGCTGTAAGCCTGTATTTAAGACCTCCTCCCTCCTTCAATAAACGGCATTCGGCAAAAAAAAAAAAAAAAAAAAAAAAAAAAAAAAAAAAAAAAAA